GAATAAAAATGATAATAAAATATTGAAAAATGCAATAAAAGTATAAGTAGCAAAAAAGACTTCCTGTACCATGTGATACCAATATGGTATATATGTATACCAACAGAGCATATGATTGCTACAACTATCTGCAACTATACTACTGTACCAAAACATTAACAGACGCAATAAAAGTATGAGAAAATTACATGCTCATATTGCAAGCTAAATATTAGCAAAACAACTTGCTCATTCCATATACTAACATGGTATATAGTTGTATGGGGTCGTTCCAACAATTGCCTATAATTATAAAACTATTACATAATACACATAATTTATGTCCATCGGCACAAAAAATTCCAGCACTGCAAATCATATTCATATAAATAATTTCATAATAGAATTCACTTAAAATGCAGCTAAAACAATCAAAACAATGTTCAAACTATCATATGATATCAATATGACATATAAGTCATGGTATACAGCTTTACTGGTTAATTCCTGGCAATTATATGACTATACTACTATTACATAACACACATGCATAAAGAGAAAAAAAAAAAAAATAGTGTACCACATATTAATATAATAAAGTATTTCAAAATATTGTACTATATTACTATTATTAAAAGAAAATCAAATATTGCACCAATTAAATGCAGCTAATACACCAAAAAATGATTCAACTAACATATGATACCAATATAGTATATAACTATACTAATAGGGTATATAGTTGGAATAAATTATATACCAAAATGGTATATTTATATACTATTTGGGTATACAATACAAATTCATCATCTTCTCTGGTTCAACTATATTTCAACCCAAATTTCTAAAATCTACTACAAAATCTCCATCAAATTGACTAAAACTTTAGCTACAACCTCCAATCAACTTTCCAAACAAACCCATACAGGATCGGATCAAAATAATTAAAAACTCAAACAAATCAACTTATGAGTTTCAAGTTTCAAGATCCTTCAATGATGGATTTAATTTTCTCACAATAAAATCTTTGAAAATTAGCATTAACACCGTAATCAAAGAACAATACCCAATAAATTCCAACAGCAAATACTTCAACACACATGAAAATTCAAATTTTAGTTAGATAGTACATATTATTTTTTGTTTTACTTTTAGAAGATAAAATAAACTATGGAGCACAAAGAAAAAAAAAAGGGGGTGATGATATTATTTTTTGGCTTCTTTTTAGGATTCACGCTTTTGCTTCTTAAATTAGATATGTCCATCGCACGCGAGAATTGGGTTGAGCGGGTAATTAATTGTAATAGAATAGGTATTGATATAATTACATTTAAAATGGATAATTACAGGTAATTACTTTTGATTAGGTAGGTACATAGGGTAGTTTTCTCAAAAATATGAAAGGGAAATCGGTTCTCTCACAATTACGGGAAGGAAGATCCCCCAGTATATGAGGTTAATGAAATACTCATGTATACGCTATGGAATTCTTCACAGGTAGATTAATTTTTCATAATTCCCTTTTTCCCATTTCCGAAACGTAATGTGGAAGTAGAAACCACATCTACGCTAGAAATATTGTTTTGATCACATTCACAGGCTAATTAATTACCTTATTGAGATTAATGTGTCATTTCATGTTTTTTTTCCTTTTGAATTTCTTCGCCACCTTTACGGTAAGTTTTGGTCAATTCAATCTGATTGCGCTGCTGATGCATTTTATTTTTTCTTTTTCCTTTTCCCTAGCTCTCATTTGGATTTTTTCCCATCTTGTCTCAGTTTGTTCTTCCTTAGCCTGAGCACATGCGAAAAGCATATTTAATCCTCGACTAGTATGTTCTAGTGCAGTTTTTGCTGTTATTTATTTATTATTTGAGAATGGTGTCGGGCCAATACCTCGACTATTTTACTGCTATTTCCCACCAACACAGGTATCGGATAACTCTGTCCACCTCCCCTGAAGTTTGAACTTTGAGACCTCATAGTTATAGTAGAATATGTAGACTCTTAGAAATATACAATGTGCTGCCTATGAAGATGTATTCATACACAAAGATGCAAATCAGAAAAGAAAACTGTATCCAGCTCGGCCATGGATATGTTAATTGGTAAGCTACTTTAGTTATCCTTTTATATTGTGCCATCTTCCAATTTACCCAATAGCCAAATTTAGATGCTAACAAAGCCAAAGCTGAGGGAAGAAATTTATGGAAACAGTATGTACAAGAGAGAGATGGATCTAATGATGAAGAATGCAAATATAAGGGTAGATACAAGCATTCTTCTATTCTTCAAAAAATAAAGGATAGAAAGAAAATAAAACTCAAAACCTCTTAAGCTTATTGTTCACCTTGGTCCGGATAAAATTGAAGGCAATATTGAACTGATAGTGGCTTCCCTCTGTTGTTTGCCTGCCCCAACCTGAGGTACGTTTGTGAAATTGTAATCCAAGTTGGTTTCAACAGACACCAAACCTTCCAGCGCCTTAACCACCAATGTCATGGAAGGCCTCTTGGTGTAATCTCCCTGTAGACACCACGCAGCAATGCTCATCATTTCTGTCACTTCTTCTTTATGGCGCTGCATATCCTCATTGGTTTTGTCAACCATGTCCATGAGCAGTTCTTCTTCAGCTTTTCTTTCAAAAACACTTAGCAAATGGACATCATCATCAGCCTGGGACAAATCTAAATTCTTTCGTCCACAGAGAACTTCCAAGAGCACAATACCAAAGGCATACACGTCTACTTTCTCAGTGATTACTGACCTCAGCCATTCAGGGGCTAAATACCCTGGTGTTCCTCTCATTCTAGTTACAACATTGCTTTTGTCTTTCTCAATCAGTTTCGACAACCCAAAATCAGAGATCTTAGCATTGAAATTTTGATCTAGAAGGATGTTTTGTGGTTTGATGTCCAAATGAATTATCTTCTGGCTGCAATCTTCATGTAAATAAGCTAATCCTTTGGCAATATCTGATATTATCCTTCTCCTTGTACGCCATGAAAGCCCATTTTCTGGATTTTTATGAGAAATCCATCTATCTAGTGATCCATTTACCATGTGCTCATAGATCAGAAGCCTGTGGCTCTTTTCAGCACAAAATCCAATGAGTTTCACCAAATTGATGTGGTGAATTCCACCGACTATTTTTACTTCTGTTAAGAATGATTCCATCACATGACCTACACCATCCAGATGCTTCACAGCTATTTTGGTGCCATTACTCAGTGTTCCTTCATACACAGAGCCAAATCCTCCTTCCCCTAGCTTTGAACTGAAATCTTCTGTTATTATTTTCAACTCATTGTAAGGGAACCGAGCTAGTATTCCCGGTAAGATTGGCTCTAGATCCAGAAGATCCCCAGCCTTGCTGGACTCATGTGTCCTCTTTCTGAAAAGAACAAAGCATGTACTGATACTTAAAATTATCCCAAAGAAAGCTGCAAGAGTAGATCCTATTATCACTCGGAGGGGTATTGGTTTTTTTCCTCCAGAAATAATTGGAGGCTGATTCTGTGCCTTAGAGGAATCCTGTGACTTTGAGGAATTCTGCACCTTAAGAAATACTCTCGTGTCCAGTTCACCCTCGTTGTCTATGAGAGATAAGACTTCATTCAGTAACAAACAGCTCCCTCGTTGAGCCCCATCTGAATCATATTTGAAAACAGCAGCTTTGCAGGAACAGATGCTAAGGCAGGCCCTTTTGCAATCTTCCAACTTTTTCCCCTTAAGCGGTGATATGCTAGAAGTTAGTTCATGATTGAACTCAAATGCAAAATATGTGGTATTCCTGAGCTCTACGAAACTATGATACTGCGAGGAGTTGCAGTAAATGGATGTCAGCTGTGAACATCCAAGATCTTGTTTCCTCTCAAAAAATGGCCTGAAGAAATTTCTTTCTGGCGGACAAGTACATTGCCCGTTATTTGTGCAAATGCTATATTTTCCACACACCATTGGGTACCCACAGTTCCCTGCATATGGCGTCAAAAGATCATATACGTCTTTCCAATCAAATACTTTCATCTCCCATTGGTAAACCCGTAAATGTCCATCAGGCCCAAGCTTTATGAACTGAGCTGGTGATGTAGGAGGGTATTGCAGAGCAGTAAGGGTTTGACCATCAAAATTGAAATAAGAAATATCCGGAAGAGGTGAAGCATAGTAAAACTGAGGTGGGTCAGAATCTACATAAGTGACAAGGCTTCCATTGAGGATAGTTGACGATAGCAAACCTTGACTCTGATTGGTTGCTGAAATGCTTGCTATGAGCTTCTGCCCAGAAACCAGACTCTGCCCCGGGAGCATAGAATCCGTAGGATGCTCAAAAGATTGCCAAATTGTGCGATTGGTATTATCAAAGAGCACGAGATTCCCCGTTTCTGTCAAGTTTAAGCCTGAAACCGATTTCCCATTTGTATTTGTAGACCAAACAAGAGCGCCATCAGAGTCTGCCAAGACCAAGTTACCATCTTGGCCTAGTTGTAAGGTTGCATTGGGTTTGACAGGATGGTTTCGGTTAGCAGACCAAACTAACCGGGAATCCATATAATATTTGTCTTCGCTAGCAGGGATGTTCTTGAATGCAAAAAGGATACCAAGAAAGCATTCGGTGCTTTCGACATTGCAGTGGAAGGCAAAGAGGTGGCACTTAGTGCCATCAGTTCCACTCACAAGGATGGGTGTCAAGACAGATAAGCCGAAGGTGGAATCAGCCAACGAAAACGGCTTGTTGATCCAGGAAGTGGGAAGTCCTGCTGTAGAATTCAAACGACTGGCATTTAGGTACCACGAAATCTGGGATGAGGCAAATCTGGATGACAAAAGTTGGAGATAAATGATGACTAGTACAGGAAAATACAATCTCTGCTTCACCAACATTGCTTTCTAAACGAAGCTAAAGCTAATAAAATGTTTGAAATCTGGACCAGTTTGCTAGCTACATCTCTCTATTCTAAACCAAAGTGTCCTCCTTTTCCCTATTATTTTAAAGGATCTGGAGGCTAGAGACAACCACTCTCTCTTCTTTATTCTTAAAAAAAACAAATTCCATGTTACTTATGCCTGCTGTTTTGCTTTTTTCTTTCAATCCGTGTCTCCTGGTCAATACAAGAGAGCTGCCTCAGGAAAACTTTAAATTAATGTTTTCCAAATGTGTTTATCGACTTTTAACACTTATTTTATAATCTATATTTATATACTATAATAAAGCCCGAAGTAATTTGTTGTTCCCTCTTTTTACTCTTTAATAATCATTTAATTATTTTCTTAATATTTAAGACTTTAAAATTGATTTATCCTTTGATTATTAAATTTTTCATATTTGAACTATGTAGGAATTACTCCAAATATGTAGGATTTCAAAATCAATTAAGAGTTTGTTTTTCAATCTAAGGTATGTCATCCTAATCAAATGTGAGACGAAAACCAAGACATAACATTTTCAAATCACATGCTATTGGTATGTATCTATTCTATGTTCCTCTCTTAATTTGTTTTTTTAGCTATGTACATATTAATTCTCCTTCTTTTATCTCCTAATGGCTTATGCAACAACAAATATAGACAAAGCAAAAAATTATTTATTAAGAAAAATTGAGAACTTTGGCGTTGTAGAAGAAGATTTAGTGTGAGAATTATTTTTGAAAAATACCTTTTTGAGAACAAATGTTGTCATAGAATAAATACAATTATTATTGTCCAGAAATCAAACCTCACAAAAATAAACTTTTGCATGTACTGGAAAGGTATGTAAAAAGTGTTAAGTTATCTGTGCCAACGCGAGAAATACTTTTGATAAGAGAGTTAATTTGAAGAGAATGGATTGAACATTATTTACTTACATATTCTTGAATAAACGGAATATTATTTTGAAAACATTGAAATCTCTATCTATCCATCTTCTATCTATATATATAGAAAGAATTACAAAACAATACAGATGATTTCACACCATAATAAAAAATTGCCCATGTTTTTAAGTTCTACCTGACCTAGCCCATATTATACATATTTTGAAAGCATTAGCAAATTCAAAATCTGTTTCTTACCAACATTGCTTTTAAAAGCTATGGAGTTAAATCTATGTTCTCACAACCATTGATTTCACTCTCTTTTCTTCTCACATCTTCTACATATGCTTCAAGGGGCCCTCCGCCATTACTGCTTCTTCCATGTGTCACTTGGTTGCAATTTAAGAAAATTGAAGATTCAACATTCCATCATTGAAGGCCATTCAAAGCTTTGCTTTCAAAAATAAGATTTTTTGAGTTTGTTTGTTGTTTAGATTGGGTGTTGTTCCACTTGATTGAAAATATCAAAAGGAGTTCAAAATTTAAATTTGAAGTGATTTGGAGTAGATTTGAGCAAGATTTGAGTTAAATTTAAGAAAAAACGCAACGAAGAAGACGAAGTCAGTTTTTTGTATAATATGTATAATCTTGTATATGAGTGTATAAACACATCTTATACATTTTTATACATCTTTATGCAAGCGTCTGTAGACGAACTTCTTCCACGATTTTCAGTTGCAATTCTTATTTAAAATCAATCCAAATCTCCATTAAATGACTTCAAATTTTATATACAGCCTCTTATACTGTTTCTAACAATTCTAGATAATACCCACTCCAAATTTCTCATAAAATCAAATTCGGAATCTAAACCCCACATATTTAAGCTTGTTAAAAATCTAATTTTCACCATCCAAATGAATTTGGTTTGTTGGACTAATATTTGAGTTACAGTTACCGATTCAAAAATTAACTTAAAAGCTTGAGCAATCTTTTTTAAAAATTAAATAGTAATTTTGAGGACCTGTTGGAGTTGGATGTTGAATCTTAACCTATTATTTTTGGGTTAGTTGGTAGTAAATTGAAATATGGGCTATAAAATTGAAAAGTAGAGATCCCGGTTGTTCTTATGTGAAATATATATATANAAGATATTCTTATAAAATTATAAGAATTTTCATTGCCCTGAATATGAGATCAATATATATATATTTTTAGAAAGCTTTACATTTTATTTTATTTTTATTATAACTCAAAACATTGCTTAATATTATTTATGTAATTTTTAAAGAAGTTATTTACTTATTAACAAGGGGAACACGCGCAAAGTGCGCACCCAACACCCGATCATCACCAATGGTTACATCTTTGGCATCATCATGTTGAACTCTATCCTTAAAGACAAACAAATGCGGATCATCATACTGGCTCTCTCTGATGCGATCAAATAAGGAAGACCGAGAAATCACACAAGCCAATACCCAACTGGGCTCCGAAATATCCGACCTCACGAACTGATTGGCCAAGGCCTGAACATCAACTGCAAGAGGTCTCTCCCTAACTGGAATATATGTCAAACTCCCTATACTCACTATTTTTCAGCTCAAAGCATCGGCCACCACATTGGCGTTTCTCGGATGGTACAATATAGTGATATTATAATCCTTAAGCAACTCCAACCACCTCCGCTACCTCAAATTAAGATCCTTCTGCTTGAACAAGTGCTAGAGGCTACGATGATCAGTAAACACTTCACAAGACACACCATACAAGTAATGCCTCCAAATCTTCAATGCGTGAACTATGGCAGCCAACTCCAAATCATGAACGGGGTAATTCTTCTCATGGGGCTTCAACTGACGAGAAGCATAAGCAATAACTCTACCCCCTGCATCAAAACACAACCAATACCAACTCTCGAAGTATCACAATACACGGTATATGAACTTCAAGCTGATGGCAAAACTAACACTGGAGATGTGGTCAAAGCTGCCTTGAGCTTCTGAAAGCTCTCCTCACACTCGTCCAGCCATAAAAAATGAAGCACCCTTCTGAGTCAACTTGGTGAAGAGCGATGCGATAGATGATAATCCCTAAACAAACCGGCGATAATAACTCGCCAAGCCAAGAAAGCTGCGAATCTTTATGGCTGAGGACGGTTTGGGTCAACTTTGAACCGCCTCTATCTTCTGCGGATCAACCTGAATACCCTCGTTGGACACCATGTACCCCAAGAAATCCACTGAACTGAGCCAAAACTCACACTTGGAGAATTTTGCATAAAGCTTCTCCTCCCTCAATCTCTGCAACACAACTCTCAAATGCTCTGCGTGCTCCTCCTAACTACGCGAATACACCAGAATATCATCAATGAAGACTATGACAAATGAGTCGATATAAGGCCAGAACACGTTGTTCATCAAATGCATAAATGCTACTGGGGCATTGGTCAGCCCAAAATACACCACTACGGATTTGTATGCCCAATGTGGATGAGCTTCGAGAGTTGATTCTGGAGGAGGCCCATAGCTCGCGGTATTCCATTCATCCGGGTGTCGCTAAGATGTATTAGGATTTGAGGCAGCATTATTGGTGGAGGAGAATGAAGAAAGACATCGTGGGATTTGTATTTCGGTGTCTCAATTGTCAGCAGGTGAAATATGAGCATCTGAGACTAGGTGGCTTGCTTCAGCAGATGGATATTCCAGAATGGAAGTGGGAGAGGATCACTATGGACTTTGTAGTTGGACTTCTACGTACTTTGAAGAAGTTCGATGCTATTTGGGTGATTGTGGATCGGCTGACCAAGTCCGCGCACTTCATTCATGTGTGTACTACCTATTCTTCAGAGCGGTTGGCAGAGATCCATATTCGGGAGATTGTTTATTTGCATGGTGTTCCAGTTTCCATCATTTCAGATAGGGGCACTTAGTTTACATCATAGTTTTGGAGGTCTGTGTAGCGAGAGTTGGGTACTCAGGTTGAGTTAAGCACAGATTTTCACCCTCAGACGAACCGGAAGTCCGAGCGCACTATTCAGATATTGGAGGGCATGTTATGTGCTTGTGTCATTGATTTCTGAGGGTCATGGGATCAGTTTCTACCACTTGCAGAGTTTGCTTATAATAACAGCTACCAGTCGAGTATTCAGATGGCTCCATATGAGGCTTTGTATGGGAGGCAATGCAGATCTCCAGTTGGTTGGTTTGAGCCAGGTGAGGCTAGGGTACCTGGGAGACCGAGTGGGAGATGCGGAGCAAATATCCTTACCTGTTTGAGGCTTCAGGTATGTTTCTTGACTCGTTCGAGGACGAACGTTTGTTTAAGTTGGGGAGGATGTTTCGACTCGGCCAGTCATCTCATGAGTTACCCCTCCATTTTTCCCATTTCTGTTTCTTATTGCTTTGTCTATTGGTTCTATATGTGATCGGGTTGTTTGGCTTGGGTTCGGAGAGGATTTGGTAAAGTTTGAGACACTTAGTCTCTTTTGAGGAAGCTTAAGTTGGAAAAGTCAACCGAATGTTGACTTATGTGTTAGAGGGCTAAAATGTGAGTTTCAATGGTTTGGATAGCTTCGGGAGGTGATTTGAGATTTAGGACCGTGATCGAAATGAGCTTTGGAGGTTCGGAGTAGACTTAGGTTTGAATTGACGAAGTTGTTATTTTGGCGATTTTCGGTTGGTAGGTGAGATTTTGATATAGGGGTTGGAATGGAATTCCGACAGATGCAGTAGTTCTGTTGTGTCATTTGGGATGTGTGTGCAAAATTTCAGGTCATTCGGATGTGGTTTGGTTTAGGTTTTTGATCAAAAGCGGAATTCGGAAGATTTTGGAAAGTTACGCTTGAATCTGATGTGTTTTGGTTGATTCGGTGTTGTGAAGATTGGTATAAGTTTGAATAAGGTTATTGGTTATGTTTGTGCTTTTGGATGAGGTCCTGGGGGGCTCAGGGTGATTTCGGGTAGTTGACGGAGAGTTGGAGTTTTGGTGAGCTACAAAATTTTTGCTGCTTCTGGTATTTCCGCACTTGCGAATTGGGGACTGCAAGTGCGACGCCACATATGCGGAAGAGTGGTCGCAGAAGCGGAAGCTGGTGAAGTTGGCAGGAACTGCAGAACCGGTTGTGGGACCGAATCTGCGAAGGCGCAGGTGCGGTATATTTCATCGTAGATGCGGAAAAATGGGGACTTAAGTGAGGACCGCAGATG